CAATTCAGAGTTGGGAGCATATCCAAAGTAAGGCAACCTCACAGACTGCTCAGATACCCTAAAAAAGCTTTCTAGATAAAATCCACTCAATCACCTAAAAATACATATAGACAGACCGAGTCTCTCTGTGCCTAGTACTGGGTTAGATGTGCAAATCATAGTCGGGAGGTGAGTAAACTTGGCATCATTCCTTTGCTCTGCCTGCGAGGGAGTTGAATGATTCTGTGTTCCAGGCACTGTGAATTCAGACTGGGGGCTCAGAGGTGAGGAAGACCCGACCCTACTGTGGAGGGGTTCACAGTTCATGGGGGAGACAGGAACAGACCTCGCTCGACTATCCTGCTGCCCTGGGGCTGGACCCCAACTGGACAGACCCTGGCTCTTGGTCCCACTCACAGTGATTCTTAAGCTTCCTCTACACTATTATGCCCTCCCATATCCCGCTGGCTGCCTGATGGGCTATCTCGTCAACCCAGCCTCCAGATAATAATTTATCTTGATTATTGAGTTTTTTTGGCACCTCTTGAAATTTTGCTCTTGAGGCAAATGCATAACTCATCTAACCCTATTTGAGGCCCGGACAGACCTCTTACTGATGGCCACACATATACAAGCAGCTGCAGGCTAGAGGCGTGAGTGCTTGGAACAAAGCCCCATGAGAGTTTTGAGTAATTCTGGGGGCAGTGTTTCCCGAAGTATGCTCTGTGAAGCATCAATTCTATGGGGTGCTCCTCCAAAAGTAAAAGATTTTGAGGACAAAAGTATTTGGGAAATGGCGCATACTCTAGCCTGCCCCTTAGATGGGCACAATGGACATGAACACACTGAAGCCTCTGAGACTCCTGTATGAAGAAACATCACTTTTTTAGCCCATCCTCTGTGGCTGCATAGCTGGGTCAGCTCGGGCAAGTCTATTAATGTTTCTTAAAGTAAAATGAGGGACCGTCATCTCAGAATCTCTTGGGAGTACTTGTCTGAAATACAGACTGCCCAGCTCTGCTTCAGACTTTCTGAGCCAGAGTCTTTGGAGCCAGGACCCAGGACTCTGCTTTGAACCAGCGTTGATTGTGATGCATGCTCAAGCTGAGAACCCAGGACAAATCTTCCCAGGCCTTGGCCTTATCTCAGAATGTTGTAAAGATCAAGACATGAGCTTGACCAAAATATTAGTGATAAAAACAGAAACTAGGAATAGTAAAGAACTTCCTCAACTTGATAAAGGACATCTTTACCCACAGTTAACATATTTAATGACGAGAAACTGAATGAGCTCCCTTTAAAATAAAAAATGAAACAAAGATGTCCACTCTTGCCTATTCTATTCAATATACACTGAGTGAAGAGTAAAATGATAGTGGCTGGGGGGCTAGGAGAGGGGGAAATGTGGAATTGTTCAATAGGTATAAAGTTTTAGTTATGCAAGATGAAAAAGTTAGAGATCTGCTGTACAACATAGTGACTATAGTTAATGATACTGTGTTGTCCACTAAAAATTTTATTAAGAGGATAGATCTCATGTTAACTGTTCTGACCACCAGAAAGAAAACACGAGGACACAAAAGAGCTTTTTTGGAGGTGATGGATATGTTTATTACCTTTTTTGTGGTGATGGTTTCACAGGTGTACGCATATGTCCAAATTCATCAAGTTGCATACATTAAATATCTGCAGTTTTGTCTACAGCCATACCATCCTGAACGTGCCCAATCTCGTCTGACCTCGGAAACTAAGCAGAGTTGGGCCTGGTTAGTACTTGGATGGGAAACCACCTAGGAATACCAGGTGCTGTAGATTTAAATAAATAAATA